CCTAACTTTTGTCAATCCATGATAAATACCACCTACATTATAAATTAATCTCCACAAATCCCATATGAATGATAACTCAGCGAACATATACAAACACTTTCTTTCAACCAATCAAATAACAAAATCCGGCACAAATTTGTTTTTGCAGGCTGATGATATTCAAAGGTTACCGATATTTAATAACCTACGTCTTTACAGCTTTTTTTCCGTGTAATCGAACGGCTATGTGTGTAACACCAAAGTTAACCGTAAGGAAGTACCTATTAATTGTCAGATGTAAAATTTGTGCCAAGATTTTATTGTCTTGCTTTGGGAGATGCCATTATTTCAGTGATCTTCACGGCTGAATAGATTACATGTTGTGTTCCAGAGAAACTAGATTATGACTGTAAGTTAACTATAGTTGGCCTACGTAAGTTAAGTCACGTCTTAAATGTTATCTCTATTGAGTATTAAGCCCCTATAAAAGTACATTGTGTAGCAAAATAAAATGTTTACGTCCTAACTAATTCACCTGATTTCATATTTTCCAATATATAGGTTGAAAGTGAATGTTCTAGTCAATCCACACGAGCCGCTGGTATACCATCGGAGCAGGTGAACAAATTAATCAATTTGTCAAATCGTGCGATTGATTGCAGTCTAAAGGAGATCAATTTATTAAAACAAGATTTAGAAGCTGATTTTTCTGATCGACAAAATAAAATCTCATCAAATTTAGATGACTTAGCTACCCTTGTAAATATCATTTCTCATAAAAAAGGTCCAAACACTTCTAATTTATAATCACCTTAATCATAATATTTACGTCTTACCACATACATTTTCAACGTCTTTTTGGAAGCGTGACTCACTAGTGGTGGTCAATGATTCTATAGAAGGCACAAGTGTCTTTCCATTTTCCTCGGTCTCAAATATCGCAATCATAAACTAACAAATGTATTATGAGTCTTTCATACAGCGTTTTCCAATTGTAAACTTTGATAACAAAAGAACAAATATGGTAGCAAAATGACGTGAATTCATTTATTTCGTGGATTACCTGTTACTTAAAATACAAAGTCCAGTCCTCTTGTGACCACGCCCATTAATCTTTCGAATGTTTGAGCTGCGCTCCTCAGTCCAAATGACACCTTCAAGAAATCAAACAGATTTAAAGGTGTGTTAATGGCCGGTTTTTCGACATTCTCCAGTACCGCCGGAATTTTAGTGGTATACTCCCACGTGGTTTATCTTAGAAAAAGTATTCCTTCCATGTGATGCCAAAGAAAAACCGTGTGGGTGATGAATCAGGTATCTGTCTGTTGTGGTCTTACTATCCGAACGACGATAGTCCTCGCACGGATGATATTCATGATCCTCCTTGGATACCATATGTAATAGAGAGGCCTGTGGGTTTCTTGAATTTTGTATGATACCCAACTGCATCATGTGTTTGTACTCTGTCCTAGAGACTTAGTTTATCGGGAGGTAATCTTTTTAACTGTACACTTACTGATCAGCTTGGTAACCGGGTCTCTTAATGTTGTCATACCCCAATAAAATATTATTGCATAGACTACTCGTCTGCGTTAATAGGTAAATACTATGGATTGGACTGCTAGCAAGTAGGCCACTAGCTTGGAGTCATATATTTCGATCAATAGGTTTTTATTTGTTCATATTAACAAGTAATGTGTAGAAACTTGGGAAATCAGCTCCTAAAATAGGTTATTTCACCTGAGGTTTGATGAAAATTTATGCAAATCAATTGCATGCACCGAAGCCTAGTGTAATTATTCGCCAAGTAAAAGTCTTGTCTGCCACTTCTGGGAGTATGTTACTGGCTGTGGAGTGTTTACTTTGGGATAGCGTCAGTGGGATAATGCTCACCTCTGCGCGGGTGTCTGAGAAATTTCGTGCCAGAAATGGTATCCCAGACATAGGTGAGAAAGCTATCTGTTGTGAGCAGGGACAGTCACCATCATGACAGTCTGGTTGTGACGTTTCCTTGGGTCTTGTGCGGCGGGTCTGCACAGTTCTGGAGATTCAAACAGACCCCTGGGGTTGATCAAAATAATCTAAAGCGATGTCTGGGTAGTGGTTTCTTTCTAAGCGTCCTGGCACGTATTACATGCGTAGTGAATACAACTGCTTGGAGAATTGTAATTTTGTAACAGGTCAAGCAATTGCCACTGAATTGTTGCTAATACACTTGTATTCGCACCGTCAGTGACCTGTGACGTACTTACTTTGTGGTGACCTGAACACAGCACAGCCCACTTGCATAACTTGTTTATGTTTTCTTGTATTACCGTCAAAGTATGGCTCTCTTTGGTAAGAGACGAGAATGAGTAAACCCTTATAGATCATCGGCAAAAAGGGAAGATTTGCCGTGTTGAAAGAATAGGCACACGTCACTTATGAATAGTAAAGGGCCAATCACATTTCTTTGAATGACCATACTGGTTACATGTATAAGCTGTGTAACAAGACCCAAGGAGAACGTTTTGTCTAGGATCTATTGAAAGGATATGAGCCAGAAAGAAAGCTCGAATCGGTAAATAAATTCCCGAAACAAAATAGTCACGTAACTCTGATGTTTGTGCCGACCTTATTAGTTTTACTGAACACATCTAGCTAAGGCCCCTAGGTCAAGCATCCGCAACAGATCAAGAACGGGTACGCCGTGCTACGTATCTTACAGCTGTTAGCCAGAGTAGGCCAAACACTCAACATATCGATAGCCTTTCAAATTTATATTCGGACCCCTTGATTCCTAACTTTTGACTTAACTTGGTCAGTATACTTAGACTATAAATGTGTTACGTGTAAAGATGTCAAACTCCGAATACCTGTAGCATTTTTAGAGGAGTCACACGTACCAAATGATGAAAGTTTTAAAACGCTATGTGAGACACTGGCGAAAGCCTTACTATAATCTAAGTATAGAATTACCATTTATTGATTGACTTTCCAGGTGGGAAATGGAGTATGGTCGTTTATTCATAAACCTATGTTGAGAAGGGCTTATCAGGCTTGCTGAAAGCAAAAATGGTAATAGCTGTTTGTGGATACTTTTCCCCGTAGTTCCTGATAGCACAGATATCAAGTTAACGGGATAGGATCCATAGCCCATGGCTAGGCTGCACAGTTTTAAACAGGACAGCGGAGATTCTTCACTACTGTGCTTTGCGAACGAGACATGAATGCCATTAGGGCCCATTGTCATAAAACTTTTTCAAGATACTTATGGCCTGATTGATGTTGATGGATGTAAAATCAAATGTGAATAGATGCTTATACGTCAACACTGGAAGAGTATTGATAAATGTGTTGGTTTCGGTATAGCCGCATTGAGAGAAATGGTGACCGGGTTACTCATAAATAGTATCAATGTTGTCTACAATCCCGTTTTTATTTATGTAAAACTTGGCTGTACTAGTAGAATTCGACTTTAAAATCGATTTAAAAAGCTGAATTATTAATAATTCTGGGTTTTGTTAAGCAAATCTTTGCTCTCCCTAGTCAAAATTGCTTGCGCCGTGATAAATTATGTCAGTAATTCATGTTAATTATGCTCTGAAGCGATCAAGACAAAAGAGGCTGTTATGGTCAAGTACTGTAACTAATAGATTGAGAATAATTGGAGAATAATACGTCATATAACAGTAACCATTAAGATGAATAATAGCCTATAATAAGAGGAATATATATATATATATATATATATATATATATATTGTCGTAATTGAACTTAAGAGTGTAGATCGACGCCGTTTGAACATTTTTATCTGTTGATGACATTTGATTTAGTAGTGTATGTAGCAAAGAAGCAGCTATTTGTACCTTGCGTTACAATTCATACCGACAATTTTATTCACGATTTACTGGTATTTTTATCTCAAAACAACGTCACCTGTGGTGCGAAAGCAAAGTTTGCACTGATTTCTGATTGGATAAAGTCTTAGATCGTTGGATCTCTACTCAGGGGTGACTTTTTACACTTATACTATAATAAGTACTCTTAAACATGCTCTAAAGTACCTACTTAATCCTAGTCCTGATGTAAACGGTATACCGTTTAACCTTTACATATTTGGGCAGCATCATTGATGAGCAGGGTGGATCTGATGCAAATGTGAAGGCGCGGATCGGCAAAGCAAGTGCAGCATATCTACAACTGAAGAACATCTGGAACTCAATGCAACTGTCAATCAACACCAAGGTCAGGATTTTCAATACAAATGTCAAGACAGTCCTACTGTATATGGAGGAAACCTGGAGAACTACGAAAGCCCTCATCCAGAAAATACAGGTGTTCATTAACAGTTACCCACGGAAAATACATCAGATCCGTTGGCTAGACACTATCGGCAACAACCTACTGTGGGAGAGAAAGAACCAGATCCCAGCGGAGGAAGGAATCAGGAAAAAGCGTTGGAAGTGGATAGAACACACATTGAGGAAAGCACTCGACCATGTCACAAGGCAAGTCCTCACTTGAAATCCTCAAGGCCAAAGGAGGAGAGGTAGATCAAAGAACACATCACGCCGGGAAACGGAAATAGACATGAGAAGAATGAACAAGAATTGGATGGAACTAGAAAAGAAGGCGGTGGACAGAGTAGGTTGGAAAATGCTGGTCGGCGGCCTATGCTCCATTGGGAGTAACAGGCGAAGTAAGTACGTCCTGGAATTCATTACCAGATAAGGTGGTCCATACAAATCCTCAGGAGTCCCCCGATGGAAAAGTGATACTTTCTTGAAATTTCATGACAGCTTCTCTTTCACTTCATAATGTACCTAGATCCCAACTTGATGGCATAAGTGATTCGCTGCTACTAGATACATAAGCCCGTTAACAGAAAGCCTCTAATCAGCCACAGGTATTTAATTATTTCACAAACTTCATCCCTGATAAAAATGCTGTAAAATAAGTTCGTTGCAAAGTCATTAGCATGATCTTGATACTTTCATTTCATTTCACTGTCAAATTGACGAAGCTTGGACATTGAAACATATCTATTTTGATTTCAAGGTTATCCTGGCGTTCTTTAGGAGTCTGATGTCTTAAAAGGTCTTGGAAAGTTACGTTTTTTATTAATATACAAACCTTCTGTAAAATGACATATGTCGGCAATCTTGCGAAAGTGACATGACACAGTCACTATATGCTTCACATATATAGAGTGGTTCAAAGAAGCCTACAATAAATGTCTTCGAAAAGTATTGACCTTTTCCAAAAAAATCAGCATATTGTTCTACTTATCGTATCATTTGTAGCTAATTAAGTAAGCGAATTTCAAATTTCGTCAAAAAATATTTCCGCCCACTCACCCAGTTTTAAAAGAAATCAGAGGTCTTTCAGAACTCTAAATCCCCTCCCCCTACGTAAACGGTTTTGAAAACTCAATATAGTTCCGTTGTTTAGCCCTGGTAACTAAACTTAATTTCGAATTATATCTGGCATAGGTTTTTTAATTTCTAATCAGCTCTTCGCGATCTTAGCCACCTAAAGAGACCTTGAGATCAAATCGTTTTCCTAACATCTCACTAAGCATGATAATGAAGAACCTGGTATAGATAAATGTCAGCAAACGTTCTCGTACTTTCCATTGTGACAGCCACCGTTTATCAATAAAATGATGTTCTTGAACTTTATAAAAAACTAAGGGACAAATACACTTGCCTTCTGCCAAGCTTGGAACCTATTTTAATTTTTTGAGTTTACTGTCTCTCAATCCACAGTTAAGGATTAAATCCCACCGATTTTTCTGAGTCATACTGATACGTTCAAACGACTGCCTACTGTTATCCGCCGCTGTTGCTTATGTTTCCTCTGCTTGAACATTTTGTCAATCTAGAATGTTTTTTCGTATAGGGCTCTGGTACTAACCAGTAATTTCTTGTAAATTATAGCCTTACAGATCTTGTTTTTTCTAACAGTAGATAAAATTCACGTGCTGAAATCTATTTTCGCGTTTGATTGTTCTAGAACTACTCACAAATGTCAGAGTTTATTGTTCCCGTCGCTAAAGCAGATTTACTGAAGCGTTCTGTTTCCAATGCTTATGTCGTAAACGACGTAATTTCCGTGAGGAATTTGAGAAATTATCTTCCAAGTAGGCTTCATTTTTGTTAATATTTTACCCCATTACTTAAAATAAATTGTGTTGGTGTTATTTAGCCCGATATTTTTTATTTGTCAATCATATAATTTTATGTTTTCTGCGTTCTCTACGGTTACATGATTAAGTATTTCATGTAGCGTTTGTTGACAATTGTTTGGACAATTGGTATATTCCCGTAATTTCACTCATGTTTTCCGCGTTTTGTACAGGCAAAAGATGTTATTTCGAACGGTTGTCAGAAATGTCACTTTCTTCTCTTGGTGTTCATGTTTTTATTTTTATTGCTATTTATGTTCTTGGGCTATAGCTCGGAATTTAGTAATGAGAATTCCAATGCAACTCATACTCCTTTGAGCTTCGTTTTATATGTCTATTACATAACATTATATTATCACACCTTTTATTCAATAATTTTCACTATTTAAAACAGTTAGTCCCTTTGATATATATATATATATATATATATATATATATATAATCAGATCCTTCGAAATGTATTGCGCAAATATATCACATAATTCTGATAAATTTCGTCTTCTCATTGCATTATCGAAACTTTTCACTATACCAATTAAAGGACATCCTGGAAATACTTTGATACTTCGTAAACTTTTGTAGTTCAGCCTTGTAGCCATGATTTCAAGCGACCGTAGTAATTACATGGAAGTGGCTGTATCTCTCACTTAGCGAATCTGATGTGAGAAAGTTGGTATTTGTTATCATAACCTTGAGTACAATAACTTTGATGGAAACTCATGGTTCACTTCAAAATTATGATATTTCTCCAGTAAAGCACATCTGGATATTATAGAACTCGTTGTGCAACTTGTTTTTTCTCAAAGCGTAATCACGTTATTTCTTCAATACAACTTTTTTTCGTAACCTAAACAAGGCACTCAATGCTACTAATTATAACTACCCAAATGACTGTATTGGAAATGAGTCACATTAGTTGTACTGTTATACATAAACATTTATTTTTTGTTGTGCACAAATGGAAAACAAATATACAGTGCATCTGTTCTTATTGTCATGCATTTCAGTAGGATGGATAATAAATAAAATAACTAGCAAGCTGACATGAAAATATTTAGGGTAATAAAATATTCGATATTTAAAAAAGAGATAGTGATAGGTGTGCCTACCCCACTACTGTGTGGAACCATATATTATGTTCGTTTCTCTAGCAACATGCAGTTAAATATTATGACAAAACCTCTCAGTGGATGGAGTGTAATGCTATGTTCAGACAGGAAACTATAGATAGCATGGTGATGATGAGTAATGAAAATTCGATCATTTGAACTCCCTAACCACTGACAGAACTTAAAACCCATTTGATTAATTCTTTATCTTTAGTTAAAATTCTAGTAGCTAAATGCTGAGGTCAGAGATGTATTGTTATCAAGTACATTTCACGTTAAAAACAGAACCTTTTTCCCAACAATTGGAAATAATCACTGATTGTGACCAGTTTGGAAAGGTGTCTTTGATTTACTCAGTTAATGTTCCATTTTCTATTATTTTTCCTCTTTTTAAGAGTCTCAGCGATCTCTCACAAGTGAAGGCTTCACCTACATATTACATGAGTTCGATACTTTGTTCTGCGTGTTGCAGTAAGCAGTTGAATTTGAAATTTTAGGTTTTTATTTTAACAGTGAGTGGCAGAACGTTGACTCAGGAATTAAGGAGAATGCTTGGCACATAGTTCTTAAAGGTCAGGTCAATTTTCCTTTTTATACTAATAAATTATAGTGTGGTTTTTATCTGGTTTTTCGAAAATTATCATTTAAGTAATATATCTAGACAGTTATTCAGTGACAATTAAAACCCTATTTATTAGGCTTTAAGCATTTCTTGATGCTTTGTACGCTTTTACCCACTAGATATCGTTTTAATAACCTGTTAAGCTAGTCCGCAATGAGTTCGTTATTGTAAATCTCTGACATTGCGAGGTTGATTATTAGGGAATACGCGGAGTTACTATATTTAAAGCTTACTACTAATTTGCAGAGTATTTATTGATCCATCTAGAAAGTGAAGAGTCACGTGTCACATTCCTGTTTGGATGATTACCAATCCTGTTATTATGTTTGGTAGGGTTCCAAAAGCCCAAGGTGATCTGAAACGCCATGAATACCCTAAATTTTCTGTACATAAAATGGACCTTGGAGTACAGCGTTCTTCCTATATTTTGGGCATTTCATGTTCGAGTTGTCGTATAGATTTAGCCCGAGGTTATTAGATGAGCTAAGGAAACCGATTCAAGTTTAGTCAGATTTACCACATTGTTACACAGTTTTCGTAACTATTAGCTATTAGGCTTGATTAATGAGTGCTCGTAAAATCACCTTATAATTTCACTTTAGTCCACAAAATTCACAAACTCCTGATGAAGTTGACCATTATATAGATATTAATTCAGACACTCCCATATTGGAATCTTAGTGTACCTTTAGAAGTCAGTGAAGCACCAAGTATGATAAGTGTTAACATGATTGTATAACATTTTCTTGGTTAGTTTTGAACCATCTACTCTACTGGGGACTAATTTAAAACTGAATCATAATGGACTCATTTACTGAAATAAAGATAGGAATTCTGGAACTAACCCAAGCTTTTATTATCATCACAGCCTCTAATCAATATGATGTAATCTAAACATACTGGCAATTTTTAGATCATGGCATTTCGACATCTTGTATATTAGTGCTCGTCAATCAAGCTAGGTTTGGTAGAAACTCGTTCTTCTTGGTTTAGCAATTTTTAAATGAGTAATAATTATAATAGTAATATTTACTCTGTAGTAAATATAGGTCACCTCATAGTTTCAGGCATTAGTTTGCTTATTTGCTTTTATTGTACAGAAAACACAAGCAAAACTGAACTTCGCCAATTATCTCCGACTGTTTAGAACTAAGCTTGATAGATTGCAACGTTTATTCCTCTGGACTTAACAAGTAACCTAAGAATGAATTGATAAAATTAATTATCTTCTATATACTGTATTGGTATCGATGATATCTATTGCTTCATAAATTTTAGTTCCTATGATATTAATTACAATTCTGCTATATTGTTATTCTCCTGAAAAATTCTAGGATATGAAGTTTGTGTACGTCAATTGGGTTCAGCGCTTGAATCTACACAAACTGGGCAGTCAGTTCTGAATCGAACTGAAATGAATACACATCGAAATGCATTGAAAATGCATACATATCTATTATGTCAGTTTGTTGATATGTTTGAAAACGAACTAAATGCTAATGCCAAATCTGCTGTAGGCGCTAATGTAAGTTTTATATACTTTGTTACTGATACCTTTTTGCACATCCTAATAGCAAAGAGAGAGCGAGATTCTGGTTCCCTCTCTCGAGCTTGTAGCAAATTTTGCAATATATATGATACACCGTAAATCGATCTAGTTAAACAAAAATTTAAAACTAAGAAGTACTGAACAGCTGTTTCGTAGTGCACACTAATGACTCGATCGGGAACTGAGCCTAGGATCTTCAGGTCTTGCGGTGGGTAATTAATCCCCAGACCACTGAACTATCACCCAGTGGTTTACATTTCTGACTCTCATGAATTCTCGATATCGGCCAACCATATTCTAATGCCATTGTTGGATAACTGTCCCACTTCCGATATAGTTGAACTCTGTTGGTCACTGTTTCTTACTAGGACTCCAAGAATTACCTCTCAAATTTGGTTACTACTGAGCACACAGTTATTATAGGTATACGTGGTTTCTAACTAGGGTCACTTAGTGACACAAAAATCCTCTACAACCGAACTTTAACTATATATGTATGTATATTCTAGAAAAGGAATTTGGATATTTATGCTTTGAATGTCCTCCATACCATATTAATATACTTCACAACTGTAAATTAGGACAGAGAAAATTATTGAATAGCACACTCCTTTTTTGATGGATATTCGGTTTTCTCTTTAGTTGCAACTGACTCAACTTGATTGAAAATGGAACATACATCTTGTATCGTCGTCAAGATTTCTTCAACCACCAAACCATTAGTAATATTTATATGCATATACGGTATTATTAAACCAATCAAGGTAGTTTATGAGTCAATGATAACAATGAAAACGATTACATAATAAGTGAAAAGTACAAATTGATAGTGTGATGACAGGTGTACTAGTTTTGATAAGAATAATAAAGGCTCAAATCAATGTTACATAATCGGAAATAGGTCAGTGATCAGAAAAATATAGACAGTGAGATAACATGTATAAAATTATAAGATGAAGTAATATAAAGTTGAAGAGGAAGAATGTATTTGTAAAATCTCAGCGAAAGAATTTGAAGTAAATACAACGTTTTGCCTGGTAATCCGGTCCAAGCTTTTTCAAGATTTTACAAATACATCCTTTCTCTTTAATGTCTCACATTAACTCGGCGCTCAAATATTGTGAAACTATTCGTTCAAATTTAGACGAAAGTTTTCATGTAATAAGTGTTCAGATAATCGGACCGTGAAACGTATATTTGAGAGAAAATAATATAAAATGGTAGGAGGGGGTGAAGAAAACTAAACGAAGAGAGAGAGTATGGAAAATAATAACGCGATAAATAAAATCATTTATTAAGGCCAAGGGGGAGATAAGGGTGTTACAAATTTCTTCTGAACACAAAGACTTGGATTGTTGGTTCGAGTTCCTATAGCTTCTGCTATGTGTAAGAGACGAGAGCGAACACCATAAGGAAAACTAGTAGGAAAACGATAAATAACTTTAAATGACTTGTTTCTGTCCACTACATGACCGCTATCGATCAATTGTGATAGAACCGAGCTGCTTATTAACTTGATGTTACCTTTTCCTAACCACGAAGGGAGGTGTTCACTAATTCTTTGGTTCAGTTGCCTGGTAGTGCGCCCAATATAGCTTTCTCCTCAGGAGTGGCTGGATTCGTAGATACACATAGAAGTGGCATAACCAGGTTACTTATCCTTTAGTTGGGGAATCACCATAGATCGGGTTGAATACGATAGACAGAGTTTGGCAGCATTAAACGTTCTTTTTACTGCTCTAGTCAATCTATCCCGTAATACATCGCTAGCTACATCACCATTGAATTGCAGCTTCAAGAAAAGCGGTTTCTTATTAGCCGTCAGAGTCACTATTTTCTTGCTTGTTACACGCAAGTGCTTCTTCACAAAACCCTGTGGATACCCCATTTCAATCAACATATGAATGAGCTCTCATTCCTTATCAATTGTGTCAACTGAGCATAACCAAATTAAAATTAACCCAAGTTTGGATTTATTTTATTTTGCTTATTTGTTCTCTGAAGAAGTGGCTTACACTAAGTCGTGAAACGTAAAAAAATCTAATTTTTCTACTCTTTGGGATATTACAAATATTTATTTATGAATAAGTATTTGTATCTATTCGCTGTACACCCTTTTTTATTTTCTAGGCTGGACGTGGTAGAGGAGCAAAAGGTGGTCGTCGAGGTGATCGTGGACCGTCTGATTTACAATTATGCATGGATTGGTTTATAGAATGCGAAAAGGCAGTCAGTGCTCTCGACCAAATTTGTCGTTTAAAATTGGATAAACTTTGGGATCCCCCAGTAGCTGAAGAGGATTTCATTAAGTATACATCTTTTAATAAAAATACTTTTTTTCTTCACATCTTATTCATTATGATTATTTAACATGATTGATTATCGTTAAAATGTATTTCTCCTTTACTCTTTCTTCCGAATTGCTTATTTCTTTTTTTCTAGCTTACCAGCTAATTGTTGTTACAAATTGCTTGAAGATCGTGATATGGCTAGTAATGCTAATATACGCGCTGCAGTGACCAGTCTGTTGGCCACCTTAGTTCGTCGTTATGGTCATAGTATTGCATGCTCTGTTAAATTAGCTCAATTATTACAATGTTTCCCGCATATGGTCAATTGCCTTATGGCTATTGTAAGATCTTTTATTGAAGATGAAAAACTAACTGGTGTTGTTCGTGAACTATTAAAAGTTAGTTTTAACGGTATCGATTTATTTCATGTTTTCTGATTTATTACTAGATTTCGACTTTTAAGTACATTGAATTTAATGGATCCAGTGATCGACTCTGATGCATAAGTGCTGGTGGTGGCGCGAGTGATGAGATCGATTCACGTACAGTGAAAGCCAGAACGGCTTATGCCAATCTGGGCCATCTTTGGCGTCTTCTTGATGCCAGTCTGGCTGTAAAAGGTCGGATCTACAACACGTCGGTGAGAGCAGTTTTGCTCTATACTTGTGAAACCTGGCCTCTCTGAGTTGAGGACGTTAGACGACTCTCTGTGTTTGATCATCGTTGTCTTCGAAGGATTACTGACGTCCAGTGTTAACACCATTTAGTAATGCAGAGGTTTGATATTGTATGTTCGGGCACAGAGACGATAATCCAACTGGTGTCACCATCCTGAAACATCGACTTCGGTGGCTTGGACATGTTCTACGCTTGTCATCCCAGAGAATTCCACGTCGTGCATTATTTGCCGACTCTGCGATTGGTTGGAAAAAGCGAAGAGATGGTCAGTGTATGACATGGTGTCGTGACATGAAAGAAAGCTGCAAAGGGCTGGCTTCTGTCGGTCCTTCACGATTCCTTGGCTGGAGTCCGAGAGACGGTTCAACACAGTGGCTAGAGACGTTATTAGATATGGCTCAGAATAGAAGCCAGTGGTGATCCTGCTGTAACCTTCTTTTACTTTCTTCATAAAAAGTGGTTGTAACTTCCTTAACTGGAAGAATTCTTCTGGTTGTATCTTTCCGTTTCCCCCACTGTTATTATTATTAATATTAATATTAATATTACACTACAATACACTAATCTGTGGTCGTTATTGTTCTTTTTTTCTTATACTCACCTTACATACTTTTCTCTTCCCTTTCTCATTGTTTTGTGTGGCTCATATCTGGTACCCCCTTGTACCAATATTTATGTGTTCAAATAAATAAACAAATAACTCTAATGCATGGAGTCTACTACTCCATATATATATATATATATATATATTCGACTTAAGTTTCCATACCATATCAGCATAGCTAGATTGAACTGTGAAAACAAACGTCAGGCTAGCAGAATTAGTAATAGTATCGGTAATAGTGGAAAACATTAAGAATAGATAATGTGACTCAAGAAGAATGAACGAATGTATGGAATAATAAGTACAAGTATTTCAGGACAGAGTGAATACATCTGCGACTTTGTCACCGGTTGTAATTCATGTCATTCAACGTCTCCAACCACTGATTACGGTAGTCGCGTAGATCTCAACTAGATAATCCACACCTAAACAGTCTATGACTTCATGTCTTACTTTATTAATGACTGACTGACGTCTCTATATTAGGTTGAACCTAAGACGTACAGATCTCGGGTTGAGCAAGATACATTTAAACTATTTCAGAATCCATTGATCTGTATTTACCGACTTCACTCAATTTTCCATTTTAATCTTTTTATCAGAATGAGTTTTGTGGAGATTTTAGTAAATTTCACAGGTTGAAATCATGAGTCAGTTGAAGCTAGACCACCATTGAAAACCTGGAAGCACTGGACGGCCGTTTCGTCCTAGTATGGGACTCCTCAGCAGTGCGCATCCACGATGCCGGCTCAGTGGTCTAATGGTTAAGTGCTCGCGCGCGAAGCCAGTAGGTCCTAGGTTCGAATCCCGCAGGGGGCGGGATCGTGGATGCGCACTGCTGAGGAGTCCCATACTAGGACGAGACGGCCGTCCAGTGCTTCCAGGTTTTCAATGGTGGTCTAGCTTCAACTGACTCATGATTTCAACCTGTGAAATTTAATCTTTTTGGCAGTACCTGTCTTATAATTGATATGCTCAGTTTTACTCTACATATCGTGACTTCTTGGTAGAAAATTGAGAATCCCTATAGAAGCCAATTGCTTGTACAAATGTGACTATTATTAACATCGGTAGCTTGGAGATTTCTCTATTCAAAGTCATTTTTCATCACGGACTAGTTCAATAAACTTATACTGTCTGTTTAATTTTTTATTTCAATCGAGTCTGTTTCACATAGTCTCATTTTTTTTGTTATTAATAATTTATGACTATTTGTGACCTTTTTTATAGGAGATATGTAGCTACAATGGTGCAGATTTAGAGCGTGATTCACAAGCTTCTCAAAATTTTTCCAATTTTTTATTGGAAGTAGCTCGAACCTATCCTACTCTTGCTCAATCAATCCTACCATTACTTCGTTGTAGACTTGATGAAGAACCATATCAAATGAGAAATTGTGTTTTAGGGATTATTGGAGAAATAGTGCCTATATTTGCTAAACGTGAACAATTGGATCCCAATGAACGCGTTCAAAGAGATCGTTTAATGGATCTATTACAGGTATGAAGTTAATCCTTTTTACTGGTATGACTTTACTATGCAATTGGATTGTGAAAAGCATTTAAACTGTTTTATTTTTCACTTCTTTCAGATTGTAATTATTTAAGAGCAATTCATGATTATATTACTTATGAATTATTTTGATTAAATTATCTCGATAACACTCATGATTGGTTTATGATTACAAATGGCATTCATTAGTTTAGGGGCCAGTAGCTATGAGTGAATTTTCCGAACTATGATTCCTTATTGAACTAAATTACGTTTATGAATCGGTCATCGAATGAACTAATTATTTGACTGAGTACCCCCGTCTTCAAATACATTTAATAAAAATCCAGTGTGATGGTTGTGATATGTAACTACAACTCTGGTAGCACTAATAATAGTAATTTCTATCAAAAGTCATTTTTACTGAAGACATTGTTTAGTAAGCTTAAATTGCTTATAGATAATTCTCAAAGCTGTATTTTTAGTAAATGTATCTTTCTATCAAAATGAATTTATTTTCCTCTTGTTTCTAACGTACGGACTCTTAGCCAACATCGTAGCACTGCATTAGACTGACAGTTATCTGATAGATATGTTTTCTATGTTACACCAAGTAAATTAGCTTATTTTTTCTAATGAAATGCTTTTTCAATATGTTTACGTTCACTTGTTCATGTTTTTAACTGGTCTACTTAATCATGATTGTGGGTGATATTCTTATGAGTAACTTGGGCTGAATTACATTTGCACCAGGCTGTATATCAATAATGAACGAGTTATTAATTGACTAAATTATGTAGACAATTAAACATCATTTTTTCACTTGATATCTTGTTTGAATAATCTGAGATCATGGATTTACATCTCTGTTTAACTTATATCCGACTAATATTGTCTTATTCTTGTATGATGTATCTGAAAATTCAATAAACGAGGATATACATAAGCAAAGATTGATAGTGGCTAGCAGTGGAATCCAGGATGCGCATTTCCTTCTATTTGAGACTCGTCAGCTGGATGTACATGCATCTCAGAATTTACGTTCACTCTGGCACTCAGACTAAGTTTTGTTCGCTTCAAACGCTATCGCATTATCCACTACTATTGTTATAATCAAACAGAATTTCGTGAAATAAGTACCAAGTACTAAAAACAGATGTTATAATTCTATGTAGATTCACCCTAAACAATCTATTGTCGTCGTCTAATAGAGTAACACTACTAACTCATTACCTTAAGATTTTAATTAATTTTTTAAAAATAATTCTCTTATCTCATTAACTAGGAGCATATTCATGATGTGAATGGTTATGTACGTGCAAAAGCCTTACAGATATGGCATAATATTGTAGTTCTTGGAGTGAGTCGATGTGTATTTGTTCTTTGTAATGTTATTATGTTACATATATATTAATAATGTACACACTTCTGATTAATTCCGTATCTGTGATACATTGGTATAATATTCATTCCGTCGTCCCGATGCACTGGAAAATCTCGTCTACTTGTGTGTTTTTTCTGTATGGAAATGGTGAAACTATTCCCAGCTTTCATATTGACAAGTGTTATTTAAAACCTAATATTGATAACGGATTTACAATTATAATAATACTACCCACAGCTTCCGTTATTCATTAACCTTGTCTAATCTCGGTTAATAAGTTTATTATATCCATTAGTTTAGTGTTTAACGTGCTCGACTCTTAACTACTTGATTCTATATTCGAACCCTTCTACATCATATAAATCGGTTTCGGGTAATCGAATAGTATCATTAGCTCTCATAACTAAGTGCGTTTCAAAACCATATGTGATTTTATGGTTGGTACACTAGGTATTACCTACCAATCAATCAATATATATATATTGGAAGCTCATCATAATCGCGTCAATGTTTCCTAGTGAACTGAACACTTTACAGGCTCTTAACAATCTAAATCGTACAGTTTTATCTTATGAATCACACTCTTATAAGCTACAAATTCACTGTCACGTTTTTAAACGACCATCTCGATTTGACTTAACTGATTTCTTTATTGATGATAAATAAAACTTAGAATGTACAAAATAGTATCCTTTTTATATCCAAATAATTTCCTACTTGTTTTTTTCGTCAAAATACAAAAAGGGTTTACCAGTCAGTCGTCAGTCGAAACTAGCCGCTTTATTAGTTGGCAATCTAGGCGCAATGATGGATGTATCTGCTTCAGCAAGAAAAAATGCTTGTAAAACACTTACAGCCATGATATTACAGTGTCCTGCTGCAAAGGTATGAATATATCTATTTGTGCTTAATTATACTTTGTGTATCTGTACGTGTGGTTACGTTTAAATGCTTATGAATTACCTACTATGAATTTTATCACAGAGAAAGTTATTAGACTGTGTTCATTGTAGTTTTCCTATTTGCTTTCACTACCTATCTCGTAGTCAATAATAATCTATGTCTCATCTAACTTTTTTAACTGGAATGTTATTTTTCGATTTGTTCCTATCTCCTCTGTCTGATGTAGTCTACAGAGGTAGGTATTTAACAGATGACCGGCGCATATACATCTAAAATTCTTAAAAATTAGTTTTCTCCAATTTTCCTACTTGTCATTCTGTCCTGATTAGTTTCCTAGTATTGTTCTTGATTGATTTTCCTCTCTATACGTACTAAATCAAACTTCTTTATTGTCTTATTCTGAAGTCTCATATTTTACGTTCTAGCTTTCAGTGATATATATACTAGTTTGGGATATCTCATCAGTGCACACCCATGACCTATACGTCACTGAAGCCATAACCTGTAAATCTTTCCGATCGCTATGATTATAGACTGTTCTATTAGACTCAACTGACTTCTCAGCTTCCTTCATTTGATTATATAACATGAGTATCATCTAATGTTATTGATAAGTAACCGTCAGACCCCATACTTTCTCACATAGAACTACAAGGAACTCATTTCCCAATCAGTTGTTAATCAGCACCACTGATTCTCATTGATATCAGTAATTTATAAAAGTTTTTTCTTCAATTCTAAGACAATTGTCACTAGACAATGGTGTAATGTCTTTGAAATACTTCTAGATTCGAGATCCACTCCAATGTATTTCATTTTTATTTGGCAACCGGTATCACAATGTAGAGTATATAAAGATGATACTCGACAAATGGGCTACACGTAATTACTTTATTTGATCACAAACTACCTGTTAAAACATCATTATGAAATAAATTTTCTATTGTTTCATTTTTTTGTATTTCTTTTCCCAGCTGACTACAAATGAATTACAACAAGTTGTAAATAAAGAAACGAAACGTCTTGAAAGTTTAGAAGAGTTATTAAGTATGTAGTTTATTTTCTTTCTTTTTCTAAATTTAAATTTCAATGGTTAAGATCATGAGTCAGTTGAAGCTAGACCACCATGGAAAACCTGGAATCACTGAACTGTCGTTTCGTCCTATCATGGGGCTCCTCAGCAGTGCGCATCCACGACCTCGCCCCCTGTGAAATTCGAACCCAGGACCTACTGGTTTCTCGCGCGAGCACTTAACCACTAGACCACTGAGCCGGCATCCAACAGTGTTAATGTCTAACTTCAACTAATCAACGAAATTGAACGACACATCCACTGCTGAGGAGTCCCACAACAGGACGGAACGGCCGTTCAGCGCTTCCATGTTTTCCGTGGTGGTCTAGCTTCAACTGACTCATAATCTTAACCATTGAAATTACTATAATATCCACAAAACCCATCTGATACTAAATTTAAATGTTTATTCGTTTTTATGTGAGTATAACTTAACATTGTTGAATAATAATAGTTAGTATCATTTCTGTGAACTAACATTGTTGTTACAGTAATCTGTTAATTTGCAGATTATTTCATCTGGAATATTTCATTTTATGAGATTGAAGGAGCAAATCATTTAGCATCGAAATTCACATCATGTTATATCATTCATCAGACCAATGGAATTCGGAAAACACATATCAGTTGTTTCTCTAACTCAATAATGAATGACTACATTGTGTAGAATTTGATCGATTTATCAATTTATACTGATAGCCTATATATTCAATAAACAAATTGAATGATATCATGTATTAAATTGTATCGGATCCCTATTACAATGCTACTCTTTTATGATTTGTATTAAGTATAATGCCTGTCAACTGCTAACTGTAGGTTTAATGCACCTGTTAGTAATCGGAAAAAAATACTAATACGACACTACTTCAATAATATTTGACCATTCATACAAAATAAAACAATCTTTGTAAGATAGTCTTTAATATCTCAAGGAAATGTCATCATAAGGATAATCACTACTGATCAAAGCAGTAACCTTGGAGTTTATTAACAGGAATAATTGATCGTTCCTTCTCTTGCACACCAATCATTCTCCATCCTCGTTCTCTCTTCTCTTCGATCTTCTTAACTTTCTGCTGCCAGGCATTTCACTTTCAATTGGTGATACATACTACTTCTATCTGTCAACATCATTAGCACACACTACACTACTACTGCCATTACTTTAGTTACTGCTCATCTTGGTAATTTTATCTTGCTGTGATGATTTGATGTGGCAACTTGAACTGACACACAAATGTGCAAGTTCAGATATCGATTATAGCTGAGTTTGCATTCGACGTGTTAATATCAGAGTTACTTGTGAATCCATCAACTAATCTCATACTTCCAATATCATTCATCATGAGCTTAACCAAGTCTGTCATAAGCAGCGTAAAAATTAGTACTTATATGTACCGGCTCAAGTTGCTATACCATACCACCATAGTGAGATACAACTATCAAGACGTGTCAGAGTAGTAGACGTAGTAGCATTATAAGTGGTATTGTGTGTACTACTGATGTTGACAGATATAAGTAGCATGTATCACCAATCGAAATTGGAATATATGATTGTAGAAGGTTGAGAAAATCTAAAAGAAAAGAACGAGAACAGAGAGTGATTGGTATGGGAACGAAGGAACAATAAAGTTTGGGACAGTTGTTGGATATTTTGCAAATGAAGTATTAACTGTATAATTCTCAGATTTTACCAAGATATTCTGTAATGGTGTATTAAAATAAATTTGGTTGTCCCCGTCTGTGTTCTCGTTCACTACAAGATTCGGAAAAATTGGGCATGAAAATATGATTCAAGAAGAATAAAGGAATTTGTGGAATAAAATACAAATATTTTAAGATAAATAGTGAGCCCATCTGTACCGTTGTGATCAATTCGAAGTTATATCATCATATCATATTCAGCCATTTGTTACGATATTCATGTAAATTCCAACCACGTGATCTTCAATTACCAATACAGATCAGTTCAACAGTCAGTGACTTCATAGACTAACATATCTTAGTTTGAGTACTTCTAGCGTTTTCTAAACGATCTTCTACAGCAGCAAACATCTCGCGTCAAGGTAGGCACTTCAAATGGATTTGAAGTTCACCCGATTGCACGGGCTAGTGGCTATCGGGACTCAGTAGCTAAGTGGATAACGCGGATGGAGTTTAAAGCAAATGGTACTGGATTCGAGTCCCGGAATGGACATCAACTCTGGGATAAAGGCATGCCCAGATGACGAGTCTCAAATAAGACAAAAAGTGCATCCTGGATTCCACTTCTTGCCACCATCTATCTTTGCTCATAATGCTTGTGACTTAAGGCGATATCGAGGCAATCCTCACTGGATGCACATATAATTGCAGTCCTAAACATCAATCGGAAGATTCAAACAAACGATACAAAAAATAAAGACCGTGTCTTAAAACACCAACAAACTGATAAGAGAATGACTAATAATATAGTGGAAGTGTAGTGAAGGAGAACACAGATGAGGACAACCGAACTATATTGAGCACATTACAGAGTTACTTGGTAAAATAGAAAAACCGTGCTATAATACCTAATTTGCAAAATTTTTAATAATTGTCTCGGACTTCATTGTTCTTGGATTTCTGTACTAATTGCTTTCTATCCCCGTTCTTCCTTTTTTGATCTACCCGATCTTCTGCTGCCAGACATTACATTCCTGACTCGCGTTATATACTACTTATGTCAATATAAGTAGCACGCACCACAGGAGTTGTAGTACGAAAACATGCATTTTAAATTCTAGGTAGATAATAAGTATGACTAGCAGTTTCTTACAGACTGGATCATTCTTATCACTTAAATATCACTTGTTTGAAGATTAGTCGATTATATTTTAGTCCAGAAAATGTGAACTCTCAAAAATTAGACTTTGTTCATTCTATAAAATATTCTAGATTATCCTCTTGTTTAAGTAATTGTATTATATATTAAATATTGATGAATAAATAGAAAATGTTGGTCTTTAATAAAAACTATTCTACCGTGGATTATTATATATATCTTTATTACATAATTGGTTTAGACTATTCCTTTTGTATATTACTCTAATTGTAAACTTTCACTACACTCATTAATTGTTGATGCATCTCATCATTCAGTTAATTCTGTGTATGTTACTCAGTTTTGTACCTCAAACGACCCAGTTAATTACAAGTTATGATTTGCTATTTATGGTGAGTTGTAACCTTTCAATTGACTTGTATTATGATGTAAAACTTTAAGTTATAAAATATGCAAAGAAAATCAGTTGGTTTTTCTCGTCTTCGAATTGAGCAGGCTAGTGGCAGAACAATTATGTATTAATCAATCAGTGTCAGTATACTTCGTAAACATACATGTAATGCAAAGGATATTAATATTATTTGATATAGACAGATTCAATAGTTTAGCGATCTTATTGGTTTGAGTAAATAGAGATTTAACTTGGTAACAGCATATTTTACTTGTTTATAGATTTTAAAATCTAATTCGTCTGATTACCTTGTTTGTTTTTTCTTCAAAATATGGATTCAGTTCGTCATAAAACTGTTAGTAAGCGAAAAAGTAATCCCATCCATAACTTCTTAATAACTGTTAGCAATGATTATGTGTATATCTGTAAACTTACGTTTTGTATGTGTATGCGTGAATGTGAATGTACAGTTTGTAAATGTGTATATCATCAGAAATCACCATTATTATTATTATTATTATTATTACCATCATCTTATACACGTAGTATATTGCCATTTCAGTTCACTTCTGTTTTGTCATCATTATCATCATCATCATCAATATCAGTACCACATAATTCTCCTTGTCTCTTGTTATCCATTCATACTCATTTGGAATATTACATAAAGCATGCTGGATACTTTTTAATTTTAAGTAGTATTGGTTCATCATTTAAAAATTGTTTTCTATGTAATTCAGTTTTTATCTTCTTTAAATAAACAAAAAGAGAATTATTTAAACAAATAACTGTTTTCTGTGTAACTTCCAATGTAGGCTTAACAATTAGAATTTTGTAAATATTATTATCATGTAAACCAGCTTAAGGTGATGTCTGTTATATCTACCATCACCTCTGTTGTATCTGCTGTCTTACTGATTGTGCTTGAAAATGAAGACGTCTGCACTTCTCACAATACAAAGTGGACACACAAAAACTTGTACAAATGAAGATTTATTAATTCTTCAATAATACATCTCTAAAACAATTCGTTCAAAATCATGTCATCATCATACCAAATACACTCATTTACATACTAATTTTATACACACTTGTTAATGAATTACTAAACATCATATAAAGAAAAAGGTACACAGGATTAGTGTAAAATACATACGAGGTTCACATAGAATAATACAAAGAATATCATCGTCACACTGGGAAGAGGTTCATACCTATCATACCGAATAAAATTCACACTTAATTGAAGCAAAACATAATAACCTGAAATTATGTTACATTACAAAATGTAACGCCAGTATCGTAGTAACTAAGATGTCACAGTAAGAATGAGACTAATATCATAAACTGTTACATGGGATAAGAGAAAAATATGGACTCATCTTATCCCTAACAATTAGTATCAATGCCGTGGTACGGCTGAGAGTGGGGACTGTCTACTCTCCCTCGAAATGCTTTCACATGACCATGCGTATACACACACTGCCAGGGAAGTCCTACTCACTGCCTTCTCTCGATGAGGATGTTGTTCACGAAATTCAGAGGACGGAAAGCCAATATCCGGCGCTTTAACCGGGTTGGTAGATTTGGTGGATCCACCTAGGGGAGTCGGAAAACCCCGATTCCAAACCAGTGGTGCACATAAAATCCAGGATCTTTATGAAACAAATGGCGTGTGAGCCCATTATTGGTCACCGATTATCGTGTGACTGCATCTCCTAACGTTGCTTTATTGCCTTGTGGATTAGACCTCTGCGTCAAAAGCTCGGTAAGTGGCCCCCTAATAAAAGCGTCTGTTTCCGTTTGGGTACCCGAGCAGTATTCTAGCCGTCACACAAATCAAATGATGAAGTGTGATGCATATATATTTGGTGCCTCCTTGTACTAATGTTTATGTATTTAAATAAATAAAGTATCAATCAGTCAGCCTAATAATCCCCGTATAGGAAGTTATTGAAAACAATTATTTGCTTAAATATTTCTCATTTTCTGCATAAGTATGATTATTTGTCGTCATTTTCATCAAAATTACATATTATGTAGCCACATTTGATGTTATTGATCATTGTTCAATTCCAGCTAAACTCGGTACACTTGATGAAAATGAAACAGCAAATAAAGACGACAATAATGATGATAATAATAACGGAATTAACACTCAGAAATCTCTAGCTAAAAAGAAAAAGTCTAAACGTAGAAATTCAAAAGAATCGATCGCTGCCAGTGAAGATAGTGGTCGAAAAAGATCATTTCGTCGTCGTGGTCGTCGATCAATTGATTCAGAGGATGAAGAACAAGCCACTGATGACGTTGATGAAGAAGAGGAAGATGAGGAAGAGAAAAGTGATGACGAAATTGACATAGATAATAGTAATGATGCAAATGTTACATTGTGCCCTACAGCAGAATTAGATGCCGCAGCAGCTCTCGAAGCAGCAATTCATTCAGCAGCTGCAGTTGCCGCTGGGTCTGTCAATAATCTATCAACTGAAAATAATTGCATTGGTATTAGAGGTGGTAATGATTTAATGATAGAATCATCTCCATTGCGTTCAACAAGTGTTGCACAAACACAATTAACAGCTGATGTAATACGTCAACGGGCTTGTGTTGCTTATCTGTTAGAAACATCTTCTTTTATATTACATATTCAAACAGCGATAAAAGATTTTCAATCGATGCTTTCATCAAAAACAATATCAGATGTAATAGAAGCCATTGAATTTTTTGTTATTGCAAAACAAGCTGGTGTTAAAGGTCTAGAGAATGGTATACGTCTTTTATTAACACTGATATGGTCACAAGAAGAAACTATAAAGAAAGCTGTTATAGAAGCATGTCAGTAAGTTATCCATTCCAATATTTCAACAATGTCCTTGATTTCTTCTTTTTTTTTCGATTTTCTCAAAAACGAACATTCTTGTTGCGACTAGGCTTTAAGTCACACTTTAGTCTACCCAAACTAACATACTTCTATTTTTCTATAGTGTATGGTTTATGTTACTGCGTCTAGTTTCGAACTAAGTATTTCAAGGTAGAACATATGACATTTATGTTCAGCTTAACTATAGACAATCCAGAAATCTCCCACTAAAAATAACGGTGTATGGTAATCTCTGTTATTGTTTATTTCTTTCTCTTTCTGTTCATTATTCTTAAGGAAACTATATCTCCAACCAGATTCTGAGGAATATTTCAAATCCGATGGTACGCTAACTGTTGAAGGCGCTGATATAGTTGCAACAAACTTAAGCAATTTTATACGTGATTCAGAAATTGGCGATCTAGTTAGTATGGAACGAATTATTCAACAATTAATTGCATCAAATCAATTTGATTCTACCTTAATTGATCATCTTTGGCAAAGATTTATTCAGTCAGCTAGTCGAACTGATAAAGATAGTTCAGATGATGCTAAATCAATGTTGCTTATCATTAAAATGATTGTAAAGTAAGAGAATATCTATGTTTATTTGTTTATACTTGTATATTTGCTTTTGTGGTGTTGAATTTCTTTTTTCCGCTCTTCATGATTTAGTCGTAAAGCTTTCAATGTGTACTTCTTTTTCTTCCTGGTATACCTGTAAAGGTGGTAGTCTTAGCAACTTAGAAGATTGATTGCAATGTCCAAGAATTAGTTGCTTGAAGCCGGTTACATATAATATTGTGAGTAGTTTCAATAGTGTTTCTCTACACTTTTTAAGGCCTTATGACTAGGAGTCAGGCCAAGTGTATGTGCGCTATTTCTAGGTCTCGATCTTTTCCAACTTCCATCTTTTCATTGTGGAAAGGCAACATCACTTATGAACTGACATTGAATACATTAACTGATAGATGAGTAAAGTTAATAAGAACTTCAATTTTATTTAGTCTGAAAGTGTATTTGTACAATAGAGCAGCTTTTGATTCCATGATAATAGCAATCAGTCAAACTGTAAGTTAGCTTAGCTGTTTTCTGAGTACAAATAATTCAAGTGCGAGATTTTTTCTTCACGAATTAATATGGCTTAAAAGAATATTGGAGGATGAACAGAGTAACACTACTACTGACCTTATACAAACTATATTAAACCTGGGTTAATTTTGCACATTAGTATTCGACCAATAAGCTGCGGTGCCTACATAAATGTTATCTTTTTGGAGGAAAAGAAACATATAGATTGGATTTTCAAGTATAGTAATGAAACATTCACAACCAAATTTCAATTGTTCTCAAGTCATAAATGTTTGTCATATATATTAGCTGTAAATTTTGATAGATCTTCGTGCCACGAGCTGAATGGCTTAATTAAAACTCCACCGAAATCATCTCGAACTAGAACTCTTCTTTATCATCTCAGATACTGTTTATGGATACGTGTGTTTTATATATTGTTCATTTTTCTTTCAGATCTGGAGCTAAAGAGATCAATCGCCATCTCGATACGCTTATTCGTCACGGACTTGAACCTTTAGACTCATCATGTCCTATTGATTTAGAACGTGTTAAATTCACCTGTGAAGTGCTTGGACGAATGGTTCCATCAACTAAGGTAATGAATGTTTATGATTATTCTTTTATTGTATGCTGATGATAAGAAAGTGGAGTGAAATTCACCTACGGTGGGGAATAGATAGCCAGTGATATAACGTAGTCATATGATAAAAGAATTTGTGGTCGGCATAGTACAGTTCTGTACAGGAAGTAAACTAAATCATTCAATAAGATTGCGAGTATCCAACTGTTGTAACGGGTGATATCTGAAACTGATGCTGATACACAAACATCCTACATACAATCTCCCAACCGGCTACTGAGTGAGAAGACTAAGGGCGAAGAATTAAATTTATTGGGCTAACCCGATTTACATCCATATATATATATATATATATATATATATATCTGCTCCTCAGAAAATAAAATCACTGCTTGGCCAATCAAACTCACTTGTCATTGGGAGATTTTCAACTGGCATAATGTGGCCTTGTCATTTGCCAACTTTCTATTGGCCCACTGTTCCAGCCTGTATTGACTGATAAGACTAGATTATGCGTGTTTATACTTGACAGTTGTTTACGCATATACAGAATAATGATTTAGGTTCGACTCTTGTTTATACAGGCTATGAGTAGATGAAAATCTAGTCTGAAAAGTATAGAAAAAGTATCAATTATCACAGCTAAGACTTTCAAGAATATAACACAAGGAGAACCAGACATTAGAAAAGCTATTGATGGTGATAATGACAATCATAAAATGGGTTAAAACGATATGATAATCGTGTCTAAATGAATTCACTTTTCGTTTTCATATACCTCTTGAATATATAGTCTCATCATTAAATCCCATTTCCGTTTTATTGACTTATTGTTATGACAGGCGGTGTCTGCCCAACTGACTGCTTGAGCGAGAACACAAAGGTGGTCGAGAAAGTATATTAGGCTACGGAATAAAATGCATAGATACTCGTTTATATACTCCTTAGGAAATCAACCCATTTATTTGCCAATCAGATGAAATTACTCCTCAGGTCACTTCTGATTGGCTTGCCATAACACTTTTTTTGCGTTATTACTAAATATATACTGACGCATTTTATTGATGGGTTATCTTCATCTGTTGTCACTTAACGAGTTTTTATTTTGTACGAAGTACAATATGTATTTTGTCATTATGGTATAATCAATTTGATATTATCTCGTCTTGTTAATTGAGGGAGAATATTCCTTGAAAGGATCATATTAATATAAAAGAACTTGAGAATATTATTGAATTTGTAGTTGTAAATTACTGACTCACTTTTAATTAGAAAACTTGAAAAGCATTGGATAATCTAGCTGTTTAGTTGTGCTTTGGAATGCCTCTGTAGTATAAATCCAAGGTCCCCTTTATCATGGTTTTGGAACCCCAACTTCACAGAGAGGAAAATAACAAGTTTGACCCTTAGGGATATATAATTGTTGAGGTTAGTCCGTAAAACTATACAATTCAATGATCTTCATAAAGCCCTTCCCTTCTATGCTGAAAATATTTTTTGAAAGTTCATATTTGTTTCGTTTTTTTTTCCTTGCAGTCTGATAAATCAGGTGATAAATCTTCACTTTTAAAACCATTTCGATTGCCTACCAATCATGTTTTGTTTACTCGATTGAAAACAATTCTTATTTCTACGGTATCTCAACCAAATCAAGTATTATGGGTACCAATGATGGAACAAGTAAGTGCTAAACGTATTAATAACTATTATTATCAATGTAATTTATTGATCAAGTTACATGTTTATGTATTCGACTTTGATTTATATTGCTTGCATGGAGTTTAATGATAAAATCAATTTCCCTGAATATTAGTAGATTGGTGTTTTGTGTTGTCTCATTGAATTTCCATGCACTCTTTATTTTGTTAATAGGCTATCAGTATAATATATGATTTGGCAGAAGCGCCCGATTCTATCATGTGTTATCTTCTTCGTTCAACAGCTGAAAAATTAATGCAATTCAAATCAGTTTTGCCTAATCCGGTTAATTCAAATGAAACTACAGTAGATAATAATCAAATATTTGATAAACTAGTACAGAGTGATGATGATAATACTGAACAAGAGAATGTTCCACCATCATCTCAATTGAAGTCAGATCCAGATGTGGCATCATTGATCAGTGTCAATGTACCGGCATTTCTACTTTCAAGATTCTTAGCATTAATTGGTCATATTACTTTAAAACAACTTGTCTTCATGGAGTCGGCGGTACTGACCGAATTGAAACGACGTGCTTTAATTCAAGAAGATCGTGATTCAAAAAGAAAGTCAAAATCCCGAAAAAATATCAGGCAGTCAAGGGTGAGTTTGTCCAAATTTTCAATATTTCATAAAGTCTAGATGTTTTCTTTTGAACTACTAACATTTAGAGAACTTAATGTCCTGATTCTAATGTAGATGATGTGCTTTTGCCTTAGCCGATTCTCAACAGTTTTCTACATATTGATATCATCGCACTATTGTTTTCTGGATTATAGTTCCGATCTTAAGTTAATCAAATTATTATGATTATGATCCAAAAGACCATTTTGACATCGTATGTGAAATCAGAACAAAATGTTAAAGAAAAAAACAGAAGGTTTACTATGTTTAATCCAAACAACAAAATTACGGTAATGAAAAGATTAGGATTTGATGTACAATTTATATAAAACACTCGTAGCATCTCGATTCGTACACTCGTCCCGACTAGTTGAAAATGAATTAATCGGAGTATTTTGACTTGAATATACAATAAACAAAACCTTACCCTACTGACAATCCTCTTTTGAGCACATTCGTAGAATCTGTTACTAGGATTCACTTAGATCAAACTAACTGATCTGTACTTACTATATCTGTCCACCTCCTTGTCAATAGGTGCTTTTTACCTTTCTTTTTATGTTTCAGAACTGACTTAACTGTCTCTGGTGGTTTGATCTGGAAAGTATCTAATGGAATATCTAGCAGTATTCAATTATTGTTCTCATAGATGAAATTAGAAATCGCTTTCAATATGCCATTCATAATGTACCTGGATTAATTAATCAACTGACACCTTGTTGATCACATTACCGGGAATATTTTAATCCGTTCTGGAGCATATAGGGATATATACCAGACAGGATAAAATCAAATTAGTAGTCTATTTTGAACAAGTTGAAAATTGTGTAATATCAAATACCAGCTATTAATGTTAAAAACTGTAATTCATCAGTCTCTATATCATATAGCTAAACTCATTAGCTGAATCAATAATATGTAGGATACTTAACGTTATGTTTGATTTAAGTCTAGGTGTGTAAATCAACTCCGGATCCAGGTACATCCAGCTGATGAGTCCTGAACAAAAAGAAAATGCACGCTCTGGATTCCTTTGCTAACTATTATCAAACTTTAATAAAAACATTTTGTATGTCTTTCTATTTATTTATTTCATAAGATGTCAATGATGGAAAACTCTGTCAATGTTTCATCAGGAATAACAACCGGTCAACCGAATGTTGATGAAGAATCTGGTCTAGTTGGTGTAGCAGCTGATGATACCGAAGCAGATTACATACGTCATATATGCGATCACGAATTATTAAAATCACCTGACCTTGTCTTAAATCCATTATTAAATTTCGTCACTTATGTTTGTTCACATCCGTCAAGATTTGCAGATGAAACTGTACAGGTGAATTGGTTGTTTTGTTCATTTTTCATTAATTGTAAAGCGTGACACCCGGTAATTTTGATATTCAAAGCATTTATCTTTCAGTCATTGATTCATAGTTTCGAACCAGATTCTACAGCTTGCTTCAGTTTGGACAGTCGGTTAGCTCTTATAATCAATTAGTTAGTTAGTGATATGCTAAGCCAATCAGGCGAACCAAATGGTAAGCGTAAACTATTGGTTAAGATTTTTGCTTTCCCTCTCTAAGGAACGAGACTTTTGATTGAAAATGTGGGTTAGTTTTCTAAGGGAGAATGATATGTATTTATAAATGAGTTGTACATATATCCTCGATTCCCTTCAGTCAATTAAAGCTTACCTGATCGCTCTTTGTTTTTCACTCAAGTACCCCGTTTGGCTCACGTATACAGTCATTAGCAGACTCGGACACCCGCACAACATAACAGTTAGTTATGTACTTCGGTTCAAGTTACCATACGTCATATCGTATCAGTACGGTGGTAAAGTACAAAGCATATCAATGGTGATTACCTGCATAACTTCCTTCTATCCATAACCTTCTTAATCAATACACGCGAAAAGTCGGCAGATCTGCTCTGTATATTTTTATAACTGTATGTTTCAGGTGGTAAAGCACGTCAATTAATAAATAGGAAATTATAGTTTTTCATGAATTAGGTTATTTATGGTATAAAACCGGGTAGCATATGCAGGATTAAGTAACTGGATCTGAGGAACAGTAGATGAAGTAAAAGCTAAAAGTTAGAGTAATATGAATAAATACTCGTAACCAACAATAATCCACGGTAGAATAGTCTTCATCAAACTTCTACCTTTTCTACTTATTTACTGGTATCTAACCTTTACCGTTCATAATAACCTTGAACATTTCTGATACAATAGGACAATCAGACATCAGCCAAATGATAAGTCCACGCAGTTGACCAAGATGTGAATTCCTTCTTTAAAGAATGAGATATACGTTATTAGTGGAAAATGTGACTTAAATTCCTAAGGGATATATGTTATATGAAAATAAACAAGTGTACAACCATTTTTAGATTCAGTTAATAGATAAAAAGTTTCCTTTACATTCAAGTAGTTCATTAGATTCATGAATAAGGAGCTTGTTCATCAGTATCAGAGTTGGACGCCACATAACACAACAATTTTTCACTACTATTATTTTATGCTGTTTTTTTTCAGGCATCCGCCAGTCTTGCATTAGCAAAAATGATGCTTGTCAACGCTGAAGTATGTGAACCACGTCTTCAACTATTATTTACAATGGCTGAACGAAGTCAATCAGAAATAGTCAGAGCTAATTTAATTGTAGCTTTAGGTGATTTATGTCGTCGATTCCCTAACCTCATTGAACCATGGACACCAAATCTATATGCTCGATTACGTGATACCTCAGCAAAAGTTCGTACAAATGCATTGAATACATTAAGCCATTTAATTTTAAATGATATGGTGAAGGTAATTGAAAATTGTGCATCCTTATCTTTTTTTCCAAAAAAATTTGCTTGAATTTTGTTCAATTCATAAATTTCAAATCACGTAGAAAACTTTTTTTGTGTGTAATAGGTTCCAAACAATTAGTCCCTTTGATAAATTTCAATAATGAAGTGAGATGATGAAGGTTTTCAGGATTATGTGATGTATTTACACAATACATTCAGAACCACCAACCTTTCGGTTAACAGCCCACCCGCAGGCGCTTCTCACTTTGCCCCCAAATGCCCTGGTATGGCTGAGAGTGGGGTAGGCCCGCCTTCCCTCTCGAAATGCTGTCACACGGCCACGCGTATACAGCCTCTGCCAAGGAAGTCCTACTCACTGTCTTCTCTTGGTGGGGGTGTTTTTTACGAAATTGAGAGGACGAAAAGCGAATGTCCGGCGCTTTAACCGGATTCCAAACCAATGGTGCACATGGGCTGGCTCCAGTATCCTGAAGGAACAAATGGCGTATGAACCAATCGTTGGTCACCGGCTACCATGGGACTGCATCTCCTCACGATGCTCCACTACCTTGTGGGTCAGACCTTTAGGTCAAAGGCTCAGGGTGTGGCCCCCTAAGAAAACCATCTTCGGTTTGGGCACCCGGTCAGTATCACAGCCCTCACACAAATCGAATGATTTATGGGGCGCATATCTATTTGGTGCCTCCTTGTACCAATGTCTGTGTTAAAATAAATAATAAGTAACATTCAAAACAGTTTAATCACTCACATATACTTGTGAAGATATTTTTATATGAAAAATAAAAGGCCAAATAGACAAATTAAAATGTAAGCGGAAACAAAGATAATAATGATAAAATACACAAAAACAGCGTGAAAACCATTCTGGATAATAAATAAGTATTACTAGGTAGGTTAAGGGTAAAAACAAATTGTTTTTGAATACATAAAGGGGTTTTTTGTTTCTGTACAGCCAAGGATTTAATAAACCTTAGTGTGTACCCTTAAAGGTTTTTGTACAAAACTACAAAGACTGCCTTGATATTAACCTTATGACTGATGTCAATCAGATGTTTCTCAGTTGAGGAAGATGTTTTTCAATCCTGCGATCTTATTTGACCATTGGAATTCATTTGTTTTTGCGGCCATTTAGGTATCTGTTCAGCCACCCTAACTTGCAGATCATGACTGTTCCTCCCTACGTACATGTTTCTGCACATACATGTAAATTGATAAACACAATTGGATGTGACACAATCGCTTACGTGCTATTTGGGTTTTTGATGAAACATGGACCTCATCTTTTCAATAATGATGAGTTGGGCTGCATAAAATGTCATATCGATGGCTAATTTAAGTCTCTGTTTCAACATAAGACTATCCGAGTCACCTCTAAATGGTAACGTAATGTAGACTCACTTTTTGCGTGCCAAAAGCGTCATAGGTCCAATCGTATGGCAACCTTCCCAACGGTTTGTTGTTATGTTCTATGACCCACCAAATATCACGTGACAAAAATCACCAATCAAAATACCAACTTCTATCACCTTATCCATATGCTAAACCAATGACACGTCAACCAGCACTAGCAGCCTTGAGTCAACTTTGAATCCTTATTGGTTCTCTGTATAGTAACTTCTCGCCTAACTCAGCCCGTTCAGTCCAGAACACAAATATCAGCCTCATCCTTGTGAATCGCATATTTTAGGCATACCGGGCTTACATAAAAACAGACGAGACCTTATCACACCATAAAATGAAAAATAATTATTATACAAGATTGAGCCAAAGTGGCTGAGATTACAAGAGACTGTAAGTAATAGATTGGGAATAAATTAGGAATGGTAAATCGTATCACAGCAGCCAATATATATATATATATATATATATATATATATAGGTAGATAGATAGATAGATAGATATGTCAGAGTAGTAGAAGTATTAATATCAATGCTAGCAAAAACAGTTAAACATAGGCAACACGATTTGCGAAGAAACAATGAAGTCACGGAATAAAATTAACGAGATAATTTTAAAACTTAAGATTCAAGGAAAAGTAAGGCCCGATGCATCTACATTATTTCAACCAATTCGTAGATAGATCACTCGATATTTCCAACCATATGTTATGATGATCGTGTAGATTACATTCAGGTAATCTGTGCCTACCAACACATCTTAGAGACAGTTTACAATTAAATGTGTCAATTACCGAGTAGTTATATATCTCCAAATACATATTTACTTAATCGTTTCACTTTTCCATTATTTCTCTTTTTAGGTTAAAGGTCAAATTAGTGAGATGACTGTTTGCTTGGTAGATCAAATTGACCGATTGAATATTTTAGCTCGTCGATTTTTCCATGAATTATCGCAGAAAGGAAATTCATTGTATAATGTTGTACCAGATATTATTAGTCGATTAAGTGATCCAAATATTGGTGTTTCAGAAGAACATTTTCGTTCTATTATGGAGTAAGCAGTAGAACCGATATATTTTATTTGTATTGGTTTGTTTTTGTTTACATCGAGGACTGCAATCGATCAGTTTCTTTTTATCAGTATGTCCATCCTTAGCAATGGGATATAAACTCTTACAAATAAAATATACACCCATTGGATAAGCTATGACTAATTAAACTCAGTAGCTTGGCAGATAGCACAATCGGGGTTTGAACTGAAAGGTACTGAGCTTCTATCTTGGTATGAACCTCAGCAATGGAATACAGATACATCTAGCTGGTACGTCTCAAATACACACATACACATACGTTCTAGATTCCTCTTCTAAACACTATTCAACTTCTTTTAACACTTACGTTCCTACCATAAAGAGAAACTTAATCTGAATCCTATGTGGTGTTTTGAACGCATAACCTAACAATTTCCGAAACTTAATTCAAGATATAATGAAGCGATATTATACTACGACAACGTTTTTTTCTAGTTTACTGTGATATGATAACTATTCAGTTAAATTCCATGTTACACTATTATTCAGTGTCAGTATGAAATTGTTATAACTTGTGACCCGTGTGCCCTGTTATTGTATAAGGTAACAATACCGCCAATTAGAGAGCAGTGAATTATCGATCGGACCAATGACGCGTAAAACCCATGTGAGCAGTCTAGAGATACTTATCGGTCCTGCTTCCCGCCTAGCCCAACCAGTTAAGTCCAGAACACAAATCTCAGCCTCTGCAATATGAATCATTTATTTCAAGCATACTGGGTTTATATACCAACCAGACAGACTACACCATACCATAAAATATGAAACAACATTTATACAAGAATTAGCCAAATGGGGCTGTGAATGTGAGAGGTAGTAATTAATAAACAGGGCATAATTCAAGAATGGTGAAACGTATAATAGTAGTTCATAGGTCAAAATAAAGCTCATAATAAGAGAGACATGAATACGAATAGTATAGTTATTTAACAATTATACGATAAAAATACACGCATAGTATTGGTACATAAATGGATCCCAAAAGTTGCAATTCATTATGCTTATCGGAACATAACAGAAATATACTTTAATGATGTACATAGAATACAATTAAATCACCAATTACAATTTTGTACTACATTCCTATCCAATTATGAATGATAGCATACGTCAGTTGTTAGTTTTTGCTTATTTTCACTTCATACCACAAAAACAATTAATTCATCACCTTCCATATTTACTAAACCAAATAATTCTGTAAGAATCGTTTGCTTGTACTTAACTTCTAATTTAGCACACCTAAAGATCTATCGGTTCATCGTCTAATTAACACAACTATCTCTATTTCAATTTCTCGATATAATTGGAAACCGCTTACAATAACTCAAAACATACAATACGGAAGTATGCATAATTTTCCCAGTAACTTTCTAAGCTGCCAACGAATGAGAAAGTAAATACTGAAATTTCATTCTATCTCCAGGCGATGGTGTTATAATGTAAAGTACATAGTTCTTGATGGAAATTCTGAAGGTTACTCACTAATTTTAAAACTTCCTAAACGACAGTTTTAAGAATCTTTTTCACTTATTTTGATCAGTTTTTTCGGGGAAATTATTACATTTCCATAGACTTTTAAGACATATACATACTCAACTACACGACTGTCTGTACACTGAAATCACACTTCAGTCGTTATATAGTGTAGTCATATCCGTAATCAGTAAGAGTTTATCTTAACATATTTGAGTATAGTTTCATATCACGTCTAAATGGGTAGATTATTTTATTTTACTGCATACATTTAAGGTTCCTTATTCCGTTGATTGTAAAAGAACGTTTGTGTGAAACATTGGTTGAAAAGCTATGTGCCAGATTTCGTACAACGACGTAAGTTATCTAATATAATTTCCTCTTTGATTTAGTCCTATGTTTTTATCTTCATCAGAAAATCATAATAATTTATAGGATAGCTAACAGTGCTGACCGTCGGTAGTGAAATAAGTGAATGTGTTGACTACGTACTTGATCTTGGAAATCTCATATTAGCCCTACCGATAAATTGACTGGTGATTGATAAGATCATTGCACAAATACAATGAAGCTTGGTTGACTTACGCCAACATGTACCATCTGTGCCTCCAAGTGAATGCATGTCTATTTATCTTCAATGGGTAACAGTTTACTGTGTATCAATTTATGGCTGTGAAACACGACCTATGAAAGTAATAAATTTTCATATGTCTTCGGCATTCAATCACATTTGTATCCAAAGCATTGCTTATGTAAAGTTACGAATTACGTAGTTCTAGAAAGTAACTATGAGTAGTGGTGGGTGAATAAAAAGAATTTTCTGCAATGCTGTAGAATGAAAAAATTAATGACATCCTCATCAAACTTGACGAATAATCGCATAGTTTTACAGGTTAGCAGGTGTACAACATATGATTGTTTTTCTGTGCTATTTAGTCAGTATTTTGTTGTTGCTTTAGTTTCCATTTGTACATTACTAATAACATTAGTTTATAGTTTACACCATAGAGTGACCTTAGAAAACATCTGAAAAGCAGAAGTCACTGAATAGCTGTTCCAATCTAGTTTGGAACTATTCAGCAATAACCATCCGTGACTCCACTATGGGTCAAACCCAACAACTCCAGGTTTTTCAGTGAACCCTTAGGTGCTAGACCAATGAAGCGATATGAATACTTTGCATTTGATCCCTGGTGAAGTCATGGATGCACGTTGCTAAGGCAAAACACCTATGCAGTACCTCCTGGTTTTCAGTTGTTAATTTGAGGTCAGTTCATGATGTGAATTTGAAGTATGAAGTTCACTAATCTCCATACATTCCCTATACTAACAACATTAATGTTCTCCTTGATAAAATTATATATCATAAGGGAATATTAGTTTGAAGAAGTGTTGAATTTAATGCATAGTGACTACGAATGTCGAAATCAAAGTCTTATTTTTTTGAAAAATGGCTAAAATACTTAATTTATTAACAGACAAATTAAAATTTCTCATATGAAATGGTACTGTCTTCAATTAGTGTACGATTACATTTTATAGGTTTCTTTTTCTACTTACACTCTTTAGTGTCAGACTAGTTTTCAATAAGGATTTTGGTTGTACTCCTGTATTATTTACGTAGTTTGTGTCACTGTGTACATTAACACCATTGCCGGTCATCAACAAAATAAAAATTATTGAGTTAATTGTATATTTATTAATCAGTATTACCCTATCCTCATGGGTTAGGCAGTAGTAGTAAGGTATGTTACTTCATTAGTTGATTGATGTTACTAATAGGCGGTAAAATATAGAAGCAATAACACATTTTATTGAAAGAAATTATCCTTTATAATGAATAAACGTTTCTATAATTAGAAAAAATACTTGTTTTATTTTTTATAGTTTAGAACGACAATGGCGTGATTTGGCTTTCTGTTTAAATGCAATGCCATTCAGTGATCGAATGATGCGAGTATTATATGAAAATTTACCAGCATTTGCAGATAAATTATGTGTTCAAGAAGTTTACGCTGCATTTGATTCCATAATATCGAATGTAAAGAAATTAATTAAACCAGATAATATGGCTAGACTAGAAGAATTTGAAACTAAAGTAAAAGAGGTAAGTAGTAATTACTGTAACATTCTCCCATGTAAGATGTTTTTTGTCAGTGTAAATATATGCTGTCCTAAACTTATGGAATGATGGATGGTTCAACGGTTTATTGCATTCATTCTTTAACCATCAAGCCCCAGGTCCGAACCCTACCTTACTTATTTCGGTTTGAGCAGTTAGACAGTATCACTACCCCTCGTATTTAGATTGTGACTCGAAACCAAGTACATAAATCTGTACACGGTAAATAAGTTAATAATACTAACAATAATTTCTAAACTTGCATTATTTAACCTTGATCTTTGTGCATTCTGTCTTTCTCCCTGTCTTTCAACAAGTTTCATGAAAAAGGAGTTGCTGATGAGGCTGCAGTTAGAAGAGCGGAAATCGCTGCTAAAACGGCTAAACAACGTTCACGTCATAATCGTGCATCTCACAGCTCAAATGTTACAGTAAATAATAATGAAGTTACCCGAAAAAATTTACGACGTACTGCAACTACTCGAGCAGCAATTCAAGAAAGTGAAGATGAAGAAGATGATAATGAAATTGGAAAAATTTTACCTGTCCCTGAAAAAAATACACGTACTACTCGTGCTCGTGCTCGAACAAGGATTGTTTTTAGTTCTGATGATGAAGATAATGAGTAAATTGAATTGTGTATATTATACATGTCTTACTTGTCGTTATGTTACTTCATTCATTGTTATCTAGATGTATAATTTTATCTTTGTATTTTTGATATGATTGAGATTTATTTAGTCACATTTATTATATATATATATATATATATATATATATATATATATATATATATATATATATATATATATATTCTGGAAATATAGTTGATGTTTACCAAAATTCTTGTTTGCAAATCCTTCACTACACCGTTGATTATATTCATAATTTTGTTGGTGATCTTTATGTCTTCTAGTTTGTTGTCTTTTTCTAAAACCTAGTAGTAGTTACATAACTTCCTTTCCGTAATGACAATTCATTTATTCCTTTATTAGATATTTCGTTAGATGGTAATCTTGTGGAATATATCTATCGCCTATATATACGCTTCAGTAACCTCGAATTCGAACTGATGTAGAGACAGGTTGGAAAAAAACTAGAGACACTAAATCCAAGAAGTCATTTCATAAAGTGATTATTAACTTATGAAATAAGACATGTTAGTAATTGCTGACAACCTGTTTGTGATTCGCTCGATTATTTTAATCAAATATTGAAGGCTTATTAAACGAAATGGCTCATGATACGTTACAGTAGCTCGGATGCATTCACTCTCTGTCATCATTTAGATCCTGAGTTTTAAAATTATCTCATACATTTTGTTCCACTAACGCTTTCTTTCTTTTTGAATATTTTTTATACGTAATTTTTCCTACCATCGTTGGTACTGTGATTGCTTCTACTAACCTAATATTTGTCTTGATAATATCGTCTAGCTGTTCTGATATTGGGTTTAGCAATTGAAATTAATCTATTTATGCCTAGAGGATTTACGCTACATATGACTGACTGACTTCAAGCTTAACATCATGCCTGAGAACGATGATATTGCTTTTTTTACATCGAATTAAGTGTGTTTCTACTCGATTATTCTTTGACTAAAATATTATAAAGATACCTTTTCAACTGATGGATTTAGTATGAAAGAAAATACTGACTAACTTATACGTTATGTAACCATTAATTTATTTCAACTGTGTTAAGAATTTAATCATTCTAAGTTCATCCCTTCAAAAGAAAGAAATGGGATAACGAAGTGATGAGCTAAGAGTAACATTTAACTTAAGACTAAGATATAAAATAGATGTAACTATGACTTATATTTTCTATTTATGAATATTGTCAAAGGTAGGTCTTGTTTTTGGGTTTCTCTCTTTTTAATCAGATTAATGAATATTACTTTTCAGTCTAATAGTAAATACTGACATCTGTCAAAAGTTGTATAATTGCAAATTTCAAACTGAGAGGTTCATTACGATTTAAATAAAGAAATCAAAACGTTTCAATGTACCGCTTTGTACATTGTTTTAATGCTACTAAATTAGAATTCATTTGGATGAAATTACTATGAATGTTGTATGTTTATGGTTTCTGATCATAATATTTTCCTTCTATTTTATGAAATAAAAGTTATAGCGAATGTTTGTGTTTATAATCAGTCTACTTAAATGATCAATTAGAATGGTTTCAGTTTCATTATTTTCATACACATAGTTCCCTTTATTATCTTAAATAGAGCAAGAACAAAGATTGATGCAGAATAATAATGAATTCATTTTATTTCGTTAGGTTCTCATCAGCTGCTTACAACCTAAATTATTTAAAATTCAACATTAATACAGATATTGACATATTTATATATAAGAGTGTGATTAAGGATCAATACATGTGTATGATGATCTAGCAAGCAAAGATTCAGATAGAGTTAATGAGCTCATAAAATGTTTGATTCGAATAAATAAATAAAGTTTGAGAGGGAAAGTTCTGGAACATTGAGATAGTGATTAGAACTCATGAAAATAGATTAATGGTAATAAAGAAAATATGAGTTGAAATCAATCAGTTATTTATGATGTAATTTATATGACGAAATAAATAAATAGGAGCAAATTAATAGAAAGAGTGGGGGTTATTGTTACCAGGGTAAAGAAAGATTTATTACTGTCTCTTTTTGTATACATAGATCTGGTTTTAAACGTTTGATTGCTAACGCTTCAGCGAATTTCAAAAGGTTCGAGTTTGATTGTTTGTTAATCACCTTGAAGGACTTCAGTATATCAGCTTTATGTCCTGTATCAAGGAGATGTCTTGCGATAGCACTGTTGAATGTGTTCATTCCATTTAACCTTAAACTTTTCGGAATATGTTCTTTGAATCGGACGTAGGCTCTCCTTTCTGTTCTACCAATGTAACTGCTTTGGCAGGTACATGTAAATTTGTATACACAGTTGGTGGTAACATGAAAGGGATACCTGTCGACCTTTGATTGTGTCAAAGAGCATGTTGTTTTGGACAGGACAATCAATTTCGCTGCAGGATAAGTTCTTGTCAGTGCAGTTTTTAATCTCATATTGATTGCTCCTTTGACATCGTCACCTTTGAATTGAAGTTTAATAAAAATAGGCTTTTTATTTGCTGTAATTTCTTTCTGCTTTTTAACTTTACATTTGCCATATTTCTCAATAAATTTCAGCGGGTATCCGTTATTCTTTAAACATTTTTTAACATTCATAACTTCCTCTTCTAGTGTATCGGAAGTACATATTCTTTCTGTTCTGTAAAACAGTGTTTTGACCAGTGCCTTTTTGTAACTGATTGGACAAAAGCTATTGAAATTAAGATAACTACCATTCCATGTGTCTTTCTTATAAACTGAACGTTGAACTGTACCATCTTTTCTTCTTTTCATCACGATATCGAGAAAATGGAACTTGTTTTCTTTTTCATGTTCCATAGTGAAATGGATATTCGGATGTGCTTCGTTGAAAAACTCTAGCAGATTTATTGCATGTTGTTTATTATTACATACGATGAAGGTATCATCAACATATCTCGAATAATACGTCATTTCATCAATCGCTCGTTTGAGTTTGGTTCTTTCGAGGTTAGCCATGAAAATATCTGCTAGGACAGGACCTAACGGACTTCCCATCGCTACACCATCGGTTTGTTTGTATATGATATCGTTGAACTGGAACTGAACATCTTTTGTACAAATGAGTAATAGTCGTTTGAATTCTGGTACTGGTAGAGGTAGGATGTCAGAATGTTGACAAATTATGTTTATGGTCTCAAGAAGTGGTATTTTTGTAAACAAAGATGTTACATCAAAAGAAACCATAAACTTACCGGCAATATTTATGTGATTCATGCTGTCAGCAAATACAAATGAATCCTTTAGTGTATAGGTGGCTAATCGTTGACGCACTGGTTCTAACTTATCTGCCAACCATCGTGCAACTTTGTGGTATGGTGAATTGATCATTGACAAAATAGGTCTAAGAGGATAACCTTGTTTATGTATTTTCGGTAATCCATACATGTGGGGCAAACGAGACCCACGAGGTCGTAGATTATTGTAAGTAGAGTTATCGATCATCTTCTTTTTCAGAAGATCTCTGAGTACTTTGGTGATTCTTTTCTCAATGGAATCAGTTAAGTCTTTGTTACTTTTCTCTAACTTGAATCTCATATGGTCATTCAAGATGGACTTCATCTTAAAAACATAATCTGTTTTGTTCATTAGAACAACACTTGAGCTCATTAACTCTATCTGAATCTTTGCTTGCTAGATCATCATACACATGTATTGATCCTTAATCACACTCTTATGTATAAATATGTCAATATCTGTAATAATTTGAATTTTCAAATAATTTAGGTTGTAAGCAGCTGATGAGAACCTAACGAAATAAAATGAATTCATGTATTATTCTGCACCAATCTTTGTTCTTTCACTATTTTGTTTTGTTTGAATTCGATATGTATTCATTCATATGGTTGTTAATGAATTGTCATAAGAAGTTGAATGGTTGTGCATAATAAAACATATCAAGAAGTAACGGTGTAAACTATCTCAAAAACTTAACCTCTATTTATTCATAGTCAGTCATTGTGCAACATAATGGTCAAAAAACATTATTAATGAATACTCTGTTCATATAACTTTTTCATTAAAAATAATCTTAAGTCAAAGATGCGCCTATGAACTTTATCTACACATTAACTTGTGATTTTTTTTATTGATTTGGCTCACGTAACACAATTTATTTGTTGCTTTCTAGGATAACAAAGGTAATGAAGCTAATTTTTGTACACAATACTTATTTTGCTTTATTTATGCCATATACAGGTTTAAGATAAATACATGACAAAGCTTTACCTCGTATGTAAGGTTTTTTTTTACTTCAATCTCATCAAAATGAATTTTCCTAGCTGACAATATCATAAGTTAAAGATAGTTATAATCTCCAGGTCAAATGATACTCGGTTTACCGTTATAGATTAATGGTTAAGGCTTACAACTATTATATTAAAAGTTCTAGTATATCTTGGTCCTGATTATCAGTGAAATACATGATACGCATATCTTCATTTCGATGTGAGAAAACTCATTAGTTCATTAGCTTATGACCTCCCCCAAATGCCCTGGTACGATCGAGGTTGGGGACTGTCCACTCTCCCTCTCACATGGCCACGTGTATACAGCCACTGCCAAAGTAGTCCTACTCGCTTCCTCTTCGCAAAGGGACTGTTGTTTACGCAATTAAGAGGACGAAAAGCGAATGTCTGGCGCTTTAAACGAGTTGGTGGACACGGAGAGTCTTTAGTGGCCCGTGGATCTGACTCCTATTTAGATCGTACGAATATTTGTTATCGCCTATTCTCGTATATAATCGTCGACTCAAATCACGTTAGCCAATAACTGAATTAAATAAGTCAAATAACGAGAATGGGATTTTGAATACATATATTTTGTATATGAGGTGAATGGAATAGAGGGAAGAGAAGCGACGCAGAGTGGAGATGGCTGGTAAGCCAACTCCATTTTTAGTCAAGCGTTACTCAATATTTATAGTCAGACAAAATAAAGCTACAGACATGCAATGAGTCATGGGATACGATGTGC